CGCGCGCCTACCCCGCCCGCGCGAGTCTGCCTTCGCTCACTCACAATCGTGCCGCGGGAGTGGGTCCGCGCTCACTCACTGTCGTGCCCGCGGTTGTTCCCGCACCGCTTCCAGTACGTGGAGACACGCACCTCCCCCGACCCACGCAGCCGTGTTCCCGCGCCTGTGGAGACGCGTGCCACGCTGGCACATGCACGCACACTGTGACACACGCCATTCTGACACACGTGCTCTCTCACACTCCCCAAACACCACGAGCCGCACGCGCTCTCACCCACACTCACCTGCAGGGACCACGTGGGAGAATTGAGGGGATGATCTGGTCCGGGTGCAATCGCAATAGAAATAATGCGAGAATTGTTTTAATGTCCCTCACTAACGAGACCAGACTGTAAACTCCATGGCGTCAGGATCCACGCCTGTGATGGCTCAGCAGTACCTAGTAGAGAGTAGGAGCTCAATAAACCTCTGTTTAATAAATGAGTGAATGAATGAACGAAGTAATCGGAACTGTCCAGGGAGTATCTTTAATTAAATAACATTCCGACCACTTAGTCTGGTTCAGAGAACTGTACTGTAGCATGAAATTCAATAAATGAATTAAAGTTTGAACCCAATTGCCCCTGGTGTTACGTGTATTTGTCCCACTAAGGCAGAAAAAACCCGTCTGTTCAGTCAGAATCACTGCACTGATGCGAGTTCCTACCTTAATTTAAACGTCACACCTTTTAGAAAAGGAACTGTTCCACAATGCATAGCCTGAAGCACGATGTGCGATGTGTATGGGCAAAGCGTATCAATGATGTCGCTAGTCTTAGGGCTTTGGCAGGTTTTCTCCCGCCCTACCTCTCTAAAGCCCTTCACAAACCCCAAAAAAAATCCCTACACAGTTCCTTGCTTTCTCTTCTTTGAATAGTTCCCGAAGAGCCAGTCACTACTAGAAAGTAGTCTAGCCTTATATTTTGGCAGTGCCCATTTACATAGGCTGGAGCCCTGATGGCTCAGTGGTTAAGAGTTCAGCTGCTGATCATAAAGGTTTGGTAGTTCGAATCCACCCGCCTCTCCTTGGAAACCCTATGGGGCAGTTCTACTCTGTCCTACAGGGTCACTATGAGTCAGAATTAACTCTACAGCAAAGTATTTGGTTTTCGTTTTTTTGATCTACACAGACGGTCTCTGGTTGATGCAAACATTTTTTGCTCAACTACTAACTGGCTGTTTAAACCCACGCAGTGGCATCACAGAAGAAAGGCCTGGCAATCTACTTCCTTTAAAGATTACAGCCAAGAAAATCCTATGGAGCATTTCTACTCTGTAACATATGAGGTTGCCATGAGATGGAATCTACTTGACAGCAATTGTTTTTTACCTACATGGAGGCGTTCCTGGGTGGTGTAAATGGTGAAAGTCCTCTACTGTGAACCAAAAGGTTGGAGGTTAGAGTCCACTCAGAGGCGCCTGGAAAGAAAGGCCTGTTGATCTACTTCTGAAAAATCAGCCATTGAAAACTCTGTGGAACACAGTTCTACTCTAACACACATGGGTCACCATGAGCCGGAACTGACTAGAGGGCAACTGGTGTTTACTGGAATATACAAAGATCCACAGCCAGTAGTGGGTAAGATATTATAACTATACTGGATTGTTCTGAAAGTGTGAAGCCTCAATTGTAATTTCTCATGTACAAGAGAAATTAATGTACTGCCATATAGATACCTGTGTTTGGGGCTCTCCTTGGAAAATTGAATCTCTGGCCTCTGCACTTCAAGCGTTAAATCCCCGATTCTGAGTACCCTTTGTATCTTGCTAAAATTGTAATAGTAAGCTCTGCATTTAGAAAATGTAATCCCTGGAGGCATCAGTCAATCAAATCAGAGTGACCTCCCTTCCACTAGTGTGTTTGATAGCTCTGTAGAAATCAAGTTTTAAAAAGTCCTGGGATTGTGTTCATAACTCTATCTAGTCACTTTTTATCCAGGTGCCTTAGAGTACTCTAGAATAATCATTAAACCTGTCACATCCCAGGGAGGCATTTTTATATGTCTCTATATATCCTGGTAAGTAAGAAATTACCAAATCCACATGACTTGGAATAGGTAGCTGCCCAAGATAGCAGCAAGGCCTTATCCTTTGGTTTCCTCCCTGTTTTAACAACTTCCCTACTGACTCAGTCAAGAAAACATGAGGCCAAAAACGGATTACAAAGAAGCCACAATCGATATAACACCACATTTTTATTGGGTTTATTCAGTCTTCTCAGGTGAATTGCAGAATCTTGAAAATTGTACCACAGTATTGTTACTGGATTTGTGTTATGTGTGTGTTCTTTAAGTGGAGGAGAAGTCTGCCTCAGCTCTAACCGTTCTTTTTTTTTAAGGAAAAAAAAATGGCCTCAAAGCCCTATAACATTCGCATAAGTACTTTGGGCTTGTAAAAGCAGGAAAAAGTCTTTTTCTCCTTTGCATTTTAAGCTGCCTGTAAATGCTTAAGTTCAAAACAACAAGTACAGAAAATTACTGTGGTAATGAAAGGGTTACTGCTATTACATTGCTGCTAATCCAGTTCTGGGAAAGCTCCTCAGAGCCAGAAGTAGGTAACCAAATCAAACTAAAAAGAAATGCGAAGGAAAAAAGAATGAAGGTGGAGTAACAGAGAAGGCTGCTTAAATAAGAGAGCAATCACAATGTTAAGTACCTTATAGAAGCACCCAAACACACCTTCATACCCAAATAAGGAAAAGCAGGAGGGAAACTTTAACATGAGCACCTGGAAGAGGCTCAAGGAAATACCCAAATGCCACACCTTGGCCACGGAAGGAATTAGTCTAGGGTGCTAGAAGGAAGAAGTGGAGTGTTTATGGCCATTCAGGATTCCAAAGGTTATCTTCCTTTAGAAGGTAGGTTAGCTAAATGCATCCAATATTGAGGAGGAAGTTGGGATAAAATTTAAAGTGCCTATTTGTTACAGTTCTAGCTGTTCCAAAAGGTGAGTGCCTCGAATTCCTTTAAGACAGACTATTGCTAATAATCACAGAGAAATAGTCCTTTGTTGCAAATCCTTCAGCAGATAATTGATGTCCTTCAGTTCATTATGTACTGTCTTCTAGATCCAGAGACAAGATCTCATATAACATATTTGACATAAGTTCAAAGAACTTCGACAGGAAATATTAGGAATATAAGGGAAATGAGAATTTTCATGCATTCATTCATTCACTTCCTTTATTCATGCCTAATATCTTCTGGGTACTATGTGGTTTTCTCTATCCAATTCAAAAATAGTTCACTTTTTTTTGAATAGATCATTTAATTTTGCAAAGAAAGAGTCTAAATGATGTATAGAAACTCATTCAACTTGGCTTACACCTATGGTTTGATTTGAAAGCCCATTCTATAAGGAAAACTATACCTTTGTTAGGCAACGTGGTGCAGTAGAAGGAGATTCACACTTTTTATAAAATGTGTATAACAGCTTTAGAAACCCTGGTGGCGAAGTGGTTAAGAGCTATGGCTGCTAACCAAAAGCTCGGCAGTTCGAATCCACCAGGGGCTCCTTGGAACTGTATGGGGCAGCTCTACTCTGTCCTATAGGGTCGTTATGAGTCAGAATTGACTTCACGGCAACGGGTTTGGTTTTTGGTTTATAACAGCTTTACTGAGATATAATTCACATACTATACAATCCACGTATCTTAAAGTGTACAATTCAGTGGTTTTTAGTATATTAACAGAGTTGTGAAACCATCACCACAATCAGTTTTAAACATTTTCATCGTTACCCCCCCAGAAATAACCCATACCCATTAGGAGTTACTCCCCTTTTCCCCCAGACCTAGGCAACCACTAATCTTTCTGTCTCTATAGATTTGTCTGTTCTGGACATTTCATATAAATGGAATCATACAATATGTGGTCTTTTCTAACTGACTCCTTTCACTTACACTAATGTTTTCAAGGTTCACCCATGTATTGGTACCTCATTTCTTTTTGTGGCCAAATAATCTTCCACTGTATGAATATAGCACATTTAGTTTATCCATTCATCAGTTGATGGACTTTTGGGATATTTCCACCTTTTGGCTTTTATGAGTAATGCTGCTATGAACATTTATGTACAAGTTTTTATGTATACATATGTTTACATTTGTCTTTGCTATATCCTTAGGAGTCAAATTGCTGGGTCATATAGTAACTCTATGTTTAACTTTTTGAGGAACTGCCGGATTGCTTTCCAAAGCAGCTGTTCCATTTTACATTCTCACCAGCAGTGTACAATAGGGGATTCACAAGGTGATTCAGATGGCCCCTACTTGTTAGCTGTGGGACCCTGTGCTAAGTATCCATAGCTTACACCTCCATTATTCATCTATAAAACGGGGATAATGATAGTATCTTCTTCATAGGGTTATAATGAAAAAGTAATGAAATGATGTGTGCTAATATTCCTGGTACATACCAAGCCCTTGATAGATGTTATTTGTTCTCTTCCTTCTGTCTTTTGTATTTTGTTGGCAACATTTATTCTGTAATAGTCAGAGAGACAGAAAATGTTAACTTCCTATTAACAATATGAGATGCATACACATAGCTGGTGCTCAATAAGTATTTCTCACAGATAATTAGAAAAGTACTAGAACTTATATTGCTTTAATACCAAAATAAATTTATCCTTTTCTACCCAGAACTACTATCTGGGACGACAGGAGGGGAAAGCATAGAAACAACTCAGCTTTTTGTTTGGT